TTTGCTAATCATACAAACAAAAAAGTTATATTTAGTTAAGGCACAATATATTTTTTACCACATTCTATTTCTATATATTTACCTTGAATTTGGATAGGCGCCTCAATGTCATTTACATTTCCTATAGATTGATATTTAGATTATAGTAACTGGAGTATACAATGTATTGTTAACTTTAATGTATAGTTGTATATTACTGAGATTATTATGATCTTCAATGAATAGAACGTTGCCACTTTCTTCTGGTTGTTGGAGCACATTTGGACATTCTGGATGTCTGACCATTTGTGGAACTGCTGCTGCTGCTGCTGATCGTTGTTGACCACTCTAGGTCTTCTAACTCCACGAATGTGGAAATGGGGCAACACAGGTGGCAGAGGCTGAAATCCAACCATTGATATCTGTAGCTGTCCCAAATTTTCAGGAAGGCTTTCTATAACTCAATTTTATGGTCATTTAGTTTACACTCAATTGAATTTATGTGGCTAAAGGGCTTTTTTTACATATATATGTATCCTTTCACTGAGTAGGAAACTCTTCTTAAATATGCCATTGTATCATAGTGGCCATAGCGTACGCTTTGTTGAGCATCAGCCAAAATGCAGTTATTTGTGTCTCTGCTAAACACAATTGATCTTTGTACCTTTAATTAAAGTTTGATTTATTAAAAACCATTTCAAAAATTCAAACTTATAAAGTTTATAGCCTTACTCTCTGGCCGTTGATTGTTTGTAAGGTTTCCCTCCGTACTCTACTTTCAATGGAAGTTGGAACGTAATCGATCTGCAAAATATTATTAAAAATCAATCACCATTCTAATTATTTTCAATTATAAATTACTATAAAAATTAAAAATAAATTACCGGAAAAGGACCAGACTGGGGGATGTAGGCATATGGTGGACTTTGGCATGCTGTGAAAACTTTCTACATAATTATTGGTACGGATGTTTACACTATAAACAGTAAACCTAGATGGACGTACTGTTGTTAACCAGTATTGTCATCGCGGATTTAAACTAAGTGTACTACGTACGGTCGTACGGAGACAAGATAATACCTATGCGGGTGTTACCTATTCAGTATTCTTAATATTAAAAGCTATAAATATAATGTAAAATATAAACATTGATATTGACTGATAAGTGATTCTGCTATAAATAAATGAATATGGCTATAGCACCACGGTATAGAAGATAATCTTCTTCGTTATCTTCTATACCCTGAATTTTATTAGAAAATAACATATAACGTATAATGTTAAGTAAAAGGTTATATTACTTCATTTTATTTAGACACAACATTCAACTATATTAAAGAAAATTGATCACATTGATAATGCAGCGAACAAAAACACTTTATAGAGATACAGTGATGGATCATTGAAGCATAATGCTGGTAGTTCTTTAGAACAACCAGTTTTAGAAGATTTTTTGAAGAACAAAAGTCAAAGTAAGAATGTGTACTGTTTATTTTAATTTTTAATTTTATTAAATAATTTTTAGTTGCAGAATTAACAAAAGTAGTTGATATTTACACTACTGCATGACTATTTACTGGTACATTGCTAGTGAACGATGATTTGGAAGAAATCGACGCATTCAACTTGAACTTTCTAAATTATGAAGACCATGATTTGCCATATGCATTACCAAAACACCATCAATGTTGTGCACACACAATACATTTTATAGCAACAATGGTAATTAAACATTTATTTAAGTAGATAACCTAATATAGTTAAATTATAAAATACTAAAAATATTTTTATCGAAAAGAATATATTTTGAGTAAGTATAGTGATCAGGACAAAACTATTAGGTTGTAGGTTTAACACTTAATAATCATAATCAAATTTGTATGAAATGTAATACATTTAAAAATTTATATTTTTCTTTCAATTTAAATGATAAAAATATATGAAAAAAAAATATTCTAAGATATAAGTATGAATATGAGTGACATTTACTATTTTCTATTATTTATGCCCAAATTTCGATTTTAAATATCAATAAATTATGTTTGCTTAATTGTTTATAACTAATTACAAATTTGTACAAATTAAATACAAAATAAAATAATTTATTTGTATAACTTGTTTTTTCTAGGACTCTAAAAACGCTATCTTGCATACAAAAAACAGTCACGAAGCACTTTTGCCATGTCTACCGCTTTGTGGAATAAACAAGGTCGCTCAACCAAGTCAGCTGATTTATTTAAACAAAAACTTGGTGTTTATTGAATTACACCTAACGAGACACGGAATTCACTGTATGATGCAGTGGTGCTGCTTAATAAATTAATTAAAAATAATGAACTGAAGTTTAGAATAACAATGGACAAATTGGCTATTGACAGGTAAATTGTAAATGTTAAAAAATTATTAATTATTTTATCTATATTTTTTATGAACAATATTTTCAGATTTAATAGAAGTGATATTTATTTCATGTGTCAATATCAAACAATTATGGGGCCAATTTCAATAAGCTTGGATTTACTCCAGGGTGATACTAACATGTACTTTGGTCATATCCTACCTACAATTGAAGTATTAATTTATAAATATGAATTAATGACAAGTGATCAAACAGTTTCTAATTATTTGAAACCTCTGGTGACTGCCATACTTAATGGTATGTAATAATTAATATTTTTTAAATACATTAATCTTATTTAGCCAAGTACTTAAATTGTACACATTTAATTTCTTTTCATTTTAGCTGTTTTTGGTTTACTTAATTGGTAAATACTATTTACTAAGTAGTAAATATATAGTATCTCTTAGCTCTTACAGTCTTACTGATATATAATGTAAAATTTTAATCAGCTGATTTATTATTTATATTTATATTTCTGTGTAGTACCTACATTTATATACTCATGAGCTAAAATAAACAAACTTAATTGATAATAATTTTTGTTTTTAGGTATGAAAACAAGGTTTGCCAATTATTTGATAGACAAATTTTTAATTACTGCTGCAGTCAGTTACCCACTATTTAAAAAAGCATTGATTACAAATGATATAAAAAAGCAATTGGCCTCAGAATATTTAAAATGTGCCTGTTATGACTTACATACCAGTGATAATGACAATAATGATGTGGAAGGTAACCAAATGAAAGATAATTTATCTACCTTTTTTACCGGGTCACAAAATTCCCGAGAGGAAAAATCAACAGTTAGTGATGAAATAGATAGATATTTGGGCACATCTACAACAAAGACTTTAGAATATTTGCATAATTTACCCATTATCAAAAAAGTAAGATTAGTTGAAAACTCCTTATATTATTAGTAGTAATATTACAAAAACATTTGTACTTAGTTTTCAGGTATTTGTGAAGTACAGCAATCCACTACCTGGCAGTGAATCAGTAGAGAGAGTGTTTAGTGTTGGTGAAGTAACAATACAAAAAATGAACAAATATGACGGATCAACATTTCAAACAAATAATGTTCTTAAAATGCAGCACTCAAATGTTCGATTAATATAATATATTATGAATGATTCATAATTAAATTGATTTTTTTGTTTTGTATTTGAAAATTATTTCAAATACTTCACTATAGATAGTATTTGGGTGGTATTTTAAATACTTTATTTTATAAGTATTTGAGTAATTACTCAAATACTTTTTAAAAGTATTTTTCTTCAACACTGATCAGTATACATAAACCTAATCTTGTCCCCATGTAGTGTCTCTACGTCATGTTTTAGTGATAGTCATACATGTTTGTCTTGGAAAAATCGAGCACACAAAATCCTGAAAAACATATAGTAAATGTGTTAGTAAATGTTGAACATAAAAAAGTATATTTACCAATATAGATAGGTGTATCAAATTTAATAATCTTGTTCTCTTGATTGACTGCGTTAGGTTATAACTGTAATTGGTACAGGGTTTAAAAATGGACTTATAAATTAACTTCTTGTATAGCCCATTGTAGGTAAACAATGGAGAAAATAATAAAAAAAAAGATCACAATATACTATGTAATATTATTTAGGTTTTTTTATTTGTTAAAAACCTATGAATTTATTTTTGAAGTCTATAAAATTAACATTGTATTTTGTGGTTTTCAGTTCAAACGGGTCTTCTGTTGTTCATTTTTACCCCAATTGTTTAGAGCCATGCAAGCACATGAACAGTATTCTTGCAGATTTAGTTTTAGGAGACAAATTCTGGATAGCATATATGATAAAAGTTATTATTTGTATGAAGAAAAGTGTTAAGCTGAAGTTTTTGCTTAAATATCATTAAAATATAATGTAGGTATCTGCTGTATAAAAATTTATACTGTTTTGTGTTAATTTAATGTATTAGATGGTGCTGATCCAATACAACTAAATAAAAAAAATCCAAGCACTGCAAGTACTTTTAAATCGACCAATAGCTAAAATATAGAAATATTTTATTTATTGTTTATTTACATGTTTAGCTAAATAAGGGTGACAAAACAAGTCAAACGGTATAAGACAGGTATTAAACTTCTTATAAAAATAAAAATTGATAATTTCTACTTATTATCATTCATTTACATTAGAGTCAATTACTGTTTTTGATAAAATATACCAACACAGTTTTGGTTTTATTTTCTATAAGCCAAGTATTCAATCGTCATTTGTTTATTTTTTGGAAATAATTGTCTTGAAGTTAGATAAAGGTATTCATCTCGTTAATTCAGCTACTTTTGACAGTTGATGTACAAAAGCTTACTATTATAAGCTATAACTATTACATAATTATATTTTCAATTTCAGCTATATAATTTTTTTTTTTTAATACAGCTATAATTATATATTATTTATGTGTCTATATCGTGTAACTAATGTACCTACTACCTTAAACATAAAATATATACAGATTTTAACAAGTAAATGCAATTTTTTAACTGTTATATGGCTTATAAGTTTCAGAAAATTTACAATTGATATTAATTTATGTACGTTTTGAAAACTGCCTCTAAATCAAAAAAAAATTACGAATAATTGATGAACATATAATTAAAAGCATTAAACCGTATTCAGCATTAATTGTTACATCTTAATGTTATTGCAAATGCATATCACTTGGATCATGTGTTACTATATCAGCATGGTACGATGTGACTTATTATTTAAGTACTTAATTTAACAACTTTTTTGGCATTAACTAATTCAAATTGGTCGAGTAAATTCATCTGTACCTAACTAACAAACCTAAAATGTTCATGATTTTTTTTTTTTAAATACTACCTATTTTAAGAAATACCTATAGCGACCTCTGCAAAGTTTAAACTATATACTTGTAGTACTTAATTTGTAGGGTAAGTTTTTAAAATATAAAACAATAAATATAGGTATTTACGAGGGAAGCAATACATTTTTTCCCCCGTCACTTACCTTTATGTGAGAGCCTTAGTTAGGTACCTACACGGCTGTATACATATTATAATATTTATTACACTGTAGTGTAGTAGTATAATATAACCACACAATTTTTAAACAAATACATCGGTGACTGCACACTATTATAGAATAATATTGTTTAATAATATATTAATGCCGAGCCCAGAGAGAATATTAGGTAGGTATAGGCACGATTAAAGTATCCAATTTTATATTACTTCTGTAAATTTCAAAGCCTAATTTTGAATTTTTTTCAAGTCCTGACACTTCTAGAGTTTTATGTTAAGTTATAGTTAAACCGTTAAGACTAAAAACAATATTGTTAGATGCCGGACGTAAAAATTGACTCGAGACAGTAGTGTATCTAAAAATCTAATAGCCAATACTCAGAGTGCCGTGTTCTGCGTTGTATAGACTTGAACACTCCCAATACTATTCTGTTTCGGAATTTGAAATAAAAAATGTATCAGGTAATCCAAAGAAGTCAAAAACTATAAAACTGATGACAACATATTATATTATAATACCTATCATCTATGGCAAAAGCCGATTGTCGTCACTCACCGGAGACGATTCGCAATTCTAATAATTTCATTGAACAAAAGTGAAATGTGTATGGCAACAATATACATTTACTCACATATTTCATTCTACGCAAGTAATTTTTATAAAATATCTCGAATTTTTCAATTCAGATTTAGGTGAAGGAAGAAGTTAATCGACATGGCGTCTGCACTCAAGATATGGCGCCTTATTGCAGCTATATATTACCCGAAGAGTCGATGTATACGTAAGTTTGATTACTTATTCTTTTGGTGCTTAAATATTTTACTTTTTAGTCTTAAAATTAAAATTTGATTTGCTACCCGGGTGGAGTAGGGGCATATTTTTATTCCTGAGCGCGCAACACAAAAAAATACGGTATCACAAACGACGACGGCATATCCAGGTCGCAGAATAATAACATAGATATTTATAAAATTAAATAAATATAAATGGTGTTGTACATTATAGTTATATTACAGAAGTACAGTACACTGGAGTTTTTATGTCCCGCAAAATTCAACAATTTTTATTTTTAGTTTATATAAATGTTAAGTACCTAATATATGGTTATATGAATATTACTATGCCGTCGGCTTGTGGTCGAACCGTGAATTAAAGCGACGCCGTCGTACATCAAACATCAAATTATTTTATAAAGCTGGGATAGTCGTTGTGCTGATTATTGAATATCCATCGGAAATTAAATAATGAAATTTTAAAATTTAATTATCCTCGAATAGCTTAAAATATACCTAACCAATGCACTCAAAATGAATACGTAAAATATTAATTATTAATTTCGCGCTCGACAGTATTCGGAGAAAAGATTTAACTTGGATTTTTACAAATTATAGTTTGTTAGTCGGTAAATTTGATGTGATGTATAAGGCATTGAATACCTATTTTTGTTAAATCTATTTAGTAGTAATCACATTTATTTACAATAAGATTTTTATTTACTAACTCATAAAAAAAATGCCTGTGCTTCGAATATTTAAACACCACCTTTATCAATTATTAAATTAAAAATTAAAATAATAAGTACTTTATAAATTGTTGTAATTTAAATTTGAAAATTATTGACTATTTTGGTTATTGTTATATCTCATTTCATTATCTTAATGGTCAAATCTCAAACATGGACCTCTTTGATATAAAAATGTGTAATATAATATTTATCTATGGTTTTATCATATTGACGTAGTATAAATTATAATGCAATCCGTGGCGATTTTCTAAGTAGTTGCAAAGACGCAATCGATCTAAAATTTCAATTAGCAAAGCAGAGATGGACAAGAAACATGAAGCGATCCGTACGGTTTTTTTCTTCATAATAAATCTCAATATTTCAGACTTAAATTCGGTCGAGGGTATCTGATTTATTCCGCAGTGCACACACAATAATCAGGGATTCCGCCGAAGACCGAAAGTGTCGATGTTTCAAGTAATTAATTTTTTATTTCATATTTTTTTGGTAGTTAAATGTACTTTTTATACTTAAAATAAAAATTTAATTTCAAGAAAAATATGCTACCCCTATATAGACACATACTTTATTTCTGACGGTAAATTCATAAAATAAGAGAGATCAAATAATATACAAACGCCGCTCATCGTCATTGTTTTTTTGCTCCCTGTTCGTAGGGTAATTTAATAATTATAACTTATTTTTAAGTAGTTGAAATAGACATACATTATAAGGTTTAATTTAGAAATACCCGTTATAAGTGATTACTCATAAGACACAATTTTAATTTAGAACTTGTAATTTTTTTTAAATCCAAAGTTAGCCGTTGCATCACACTATTAATTTAGTGTTATATATATTTCATTGTTCTATTATATATTAATATTACATTATATTATAGTTGTATCTAAAAAACAAAAATGTTCACAGATTGGTAAACTCACTATCCTAACCAGTAATCATCCCGTACGGGTGATTATGAAAAATATACATTTATACTAGCATATAGGTATCTTTATATAATATTGGGTGCATAATGGTCCTAATATATTGACATAGGCGTTCAAATATCCTAAAATTTTGTAGTTATTCAAACCTAGGTGTGTACGAGTTAAAAAATTAAAGTTATTTCAATTTTAACTCTTTAACTTCTTTAAGATTTCGAGCGGAGCGATGAATATATTGACCAACTTGTAACCTAATGTATAGCAGAGCGACCTCCACATACTAGAATTTTTTTAATTTAATTTTTAATATTTTAATATTTTTAACTTAACTGATTTTTATTGCTAAACATTTATTAAATAATGAGTTTCTTTTAATCAAATCCAAGTTGTGTAGTTTGTTTATAAAAAACTAAATAATAAATATAGTAAACATTATTATTATTGATGATGCATACTTTTACAACATTTACTTTTTATTATTTTAAAACCAGAAAACTAGCTATTTAAGTAAATAAAAAAATAAGTCAGTTGTAAGTTTTCTAATCAATTTTGACTTAACCGAATAAAACATAAAATTAGGAGAACTATTAACTTAAAACTTTTTGAAATGTTTCATATCGACTTAAC